GGTGTCACCACGTGAGTAATGCAGAAGTTAGGTGTCGAGTTTTAGGCAAGAGAGGTAAGTCAGTTGATGCTGTTGTGAACCTCCATCGACTAAGATGAGTGGGACATGTGTTACACATACCTAACTACCATCTGTCTCGTCACATAGTGTTGGCTGAAGTAGGTTCAGGCTGGAAAAACGTTCGGGGTGGCCAGACTAAAACATAGTACCAATACATGAAGTTCTTGACCGTTCATTTGAGCCATTTAGGGTGACGCAGACTAGCCGGTTGGGTCCGCGGGACAAGAGAGACTAGGTGATATGGCTGAGAACCGATATATATATATATATATATATATATATATATATATATATATATATATATATATATATATATATATATATATATATCAATGGAGAAACACTCGTATAAAACAATCTTTAAGGGATTAAGTATATCAGTGAAAAACTTTCAAAGTATTTCTTTGGTGATGAGGAGGATAGGAACTGAAGCTAAAATAAGTACTGAATAAATCTGGACCAGTATCTCTTGGATTACCGATTCATTTTCGTAGCAAATGACCTAGGAGATGAAACCACAGTTTTCGTAATAATTTCTCTGTAAATGAGCTCGTATACTGTTTGGTAAGGCGCTAGTTTTATTTAAATTATTATTTTCTATTCACGCCTTTTAGTCAGGTAACTTGCAAGAACAAGTACAGATAAAGACTCCTGCCAACATCGTAAATGTATTTTGCACTCAGTGCAAAAATGATCAGTAAAGGTTAGCACCACAGAAGGTTCTCCTAATGGACAACCTCTGTTAGAGGATTTCCCTAAGCACATCCCCACTAATTTGCAGCTTCATGAATAATTTCTTATCAACATTCACTGATTCAGATCCCCTAATCGTTTTGTTTATGTGTCTGTTTATAAAACTAGGGGGTAATCCATCCTTACAAGCATATTATGAACGTATTGTAGCTCATTTTGAATGAAACCATCGCAGCAGAACCTTCCCACTCTATTTGCAATACATTTAACTAAGTTCCTTTTTATATCGAATGGATAAAAAGTCAAGTAAATGTATTTACTGACCCGTAGACGTGATCTTTCTGTACGCCATTCTCCTGAATGAATTATCTTTTCTAAATAACAGGACATCTAGAAAATGTGACACATTTCCCTGTTATTTGCAAGTGAGAATGAGAGAAGGATTTGCGTCATCAAGTTTTCTTAACAATTCGCTTCTATCGACATTGTGACCGAGGATCAACATAACATTTGTAAATATCCAGATTATGCATGACATCTTTCGGTGGTTCATTCTCTAGTTAAGCAGCGAATCAAATCATAAAATTGCAGTAGTTAACCAGGGTCCTAGAACTCCTAAACAAGCAATTTGTAAAGAGTAGCGTTAAAAATGTATTCCGCTTTATTTTCAAGTTAGAAGAAGTGAACATGACCGGTAAGCATAATATTTCAAGATGTTTCACCTTTATGCACCAATCTACCATCTATATAAACAGGGAAATCTATTTGTCAGCAGATATCAAAAATGTAGACTACAACTGAACTTCTAGAACATAGCCTCAAAGAATTACTTCTGCAAAGTACAGTCAATACGCATTTTCTCTTCACTAATAAATATTACTGATGAAATTGCCATGGGTTCGCTCTTAGGTCCAATTTCAGCTGATTTTCTTCTCAAACTGGAAAATTGACCACCGAAAGATGTCATGCATAATCTGGATATTTACAAATGTTATGTTGATCCTCGGTCACAATGTCGATAGAAGCGAATTGTTAAGAAAACTTGATGACGCAAATCCTTCTCTCATTCTCACTTGCAAATAACAGGGAAATGTGTCACATTTTCTAGATGTCCTGTTATTTAGAAAAGATAATTCATTCAGGAGAATGGCGTACAGAAAGATCACGTCTACGGGTCAGTAAATACATTTACTTGACTTTTTATCCATTCGATATAAAAAGGAACTTAGTTAAATGTATTGCAAATAGAGTGGGAAGGTTCTGCTGCGATGGTTTCATTCAAAATGAGCTACAATACGTTCATAATATGCTTGTAAGGATGGATTACCCCCTAGTTTTATAAACAGACACATAAACAAAACGATTAGGAGATCTGAATCAGTGAGTGTTGATAAGAAATCATTATTCATAAAGCTGTAGTGCTAACTGTTCTCTGGTACCTTATGGTCGACCGATTACTGTCTCTCAGACAAAATAAAGGCTGCCCAGTTTTGCTACTTCTCTATGTTTATCGATCCACCCGCTCCTGAAGAGAAAGTTATATCAGGCGTACCAAAAAAACGTGTTGCTGAACGAACACAATTACTGTCGTGGCTAGGAAGGAGAGAAGTAACGGTAACATGAAGTTCAATTTTGTCGCATTTCATCGATAGCGGTCATATGATAGAGGAGTTCAAAGCGTTCACAATCATTTAATGTCATTTGCGCAAAAGCTTTTGTATGAAGTTCGTAGCCTTTGTGTGCAGAAAAGCACTGTACAACTTTCCTTTATGCCTTGGCCAAAGAAAACTTAATAAACAATTCGAAAGATAAAATTGAGTTTTCCAACCGTTTCCCTCTTTTTCACTCTTCTCACAACATATGTCGTATTTAGAGGCAGTATTCATCACGGACTAACATCAGTTGGGGAACCATTGAAATTCTAGGAGCACCGGACAGCTGCTCCGTCCTAGTACGGGACTCCTCAGCAGCACCCACCTACGACCCAGCTGGGGATCGAACTTAGGACATTCAGGTTTCACGGCGAACGCGTTAACCACTCAGCTACTGGGTGGGTTTCCAGTGGTTCACAGTTTCCAACTCCTGTCAATTCACGATGTAGCGCGACTATTACCCAAGGTCTTCAGTTGGCATCCCCTTCCCTTCCGACTGGCTGACCCCATAGGTCACGGCTTCTCATTTGAACTTAGTGGTATCCACCTGGAAGCGTACTGCCGAGGAGTCCCACACTAGGATGAAACAGCTGCCCAGTGCTCCCAGATTTTCAATGGTTCCCCAACTGTTATCAGTCCGTAATGAATACTACCTCTATAAATGTCACATTTGTTTAAACGGAGTTTATTTACACACTTCATTCGTTAGTATTACACAGCTTTTACTTCCAAGGTTTTGACCAACATCAACTGTTTAAACATCTGCAGTATCGTGCTGTTTTAATTATCCCTATCATTACTAAAATAAATACTAAAATGTATGTTAGAGTAAAGCTTGAAGAGATCCAATTGGGAATAATATTGTTCTCGCCCACATTACCTCGTTCTAATTTTAAAGATGTACATATTTAACAATATATAGTTAAATAACTATACACATGAAATTCAGTTATTCATAATTTTGTTCAAAAATGTTATTAAATCCTAATTTTAACTTTTAATTGTAAAACCACCAGAGCAAACGTCAAGCATGTTTAAAGTATGAAAGCAATAGCATACAGAATAAACAGTGAACGTATATGACATACAGAAGTAAATAAATGATGTCTATCCATTAAATTACAGACTTCTAGGCTGATTATTTAGAAATCCAATTGTTAATTACTGGGTATTACAAATTCAAATGATACTGCAATTCAATACGGAGGTTAGTGGGGATTTACTCATTGGTTTTCAAGTTGATGTTCACCATGAAGTCATGGGTGCGCACCACTGAGGAGTTTCACACTAGGACGAAACAGGTGTCCAGTGCACTATGTTCATCAGTGGCTCTCCAACTGATATCAGTTCATGACGGACACCAGCCTCAAAATCCATACTGAAACAATTTCAATAGGATAATTTGTATCAAACAGTTAATCTTAATAAGACAAACTGACTGATAAAACCAACGTAAAACTCCATACACAATTGTATCAGCTCAAGTAGCCAAACTTCACAGTAGTATACAAAGTACAGGTAGGTAGAAAAAGAGTGATATCGAAGTAGACAAAGTTGTGCGACAGAACAAACAATCTGATGATAATGGTTAGTGAAAATATCCAAGATTTGGAAGATGTCAACGAGTGAATACATCTGCGCCATTTTAACCGATTTTTAGCCACGTTAACAAAAGTCCTCAACCACTAATTCCTTTCGTCTCAGGCTGGCCAGATATTGGGCAACTGAAGCATTGCTGAGGGCAGTAGAACTGCTTTTCAAAGTGTTCTGGCCACCTGTCCTGGTAAGTTATCAGCGTTCCATCATTTTCGGTGATGGTTTCACTAACCACCGTCTTCTTTTTGCCGGTATTCTCAACAAGTCTACATAGTTCCCGAGTGCTACTCAACACTGAGGCCTTCTCCATATCTCTCGCTTTCATCACTCACCATTGCTCGCTATCGTTGAGAAGACTCTTGGTCAACTTACGCTTCCCATCATGATCAGAGTCAACTGGAATCAGTCTTCTCGCATCAGTCAGTTCCAATGACGTCGCGGAAACCCAACGACGTTTTCGAACCTTCGGGTGTAAGTTGCCAACTGTCTTTACCGCTGTTTTTACAGCAAACTTGATATTACGTCAGGTTTCCTCAGCATGAGCACTTCTACTACGTTCACATTAATGCCTAGCTAACTTTTCCCTCACATATTCTATGAGCTAAGACAAAAGATTATGTGTGGTTGATAAGTTTGTCTTGATTTTTCAAATTTCTAATCAATAAGCTGTGAATAATGAAGAATGTGTAACAGAAGAGATTCCCGTCACCAGACTTAGCTAGGAACCGAACGAATCACCCAAAGGAACCTCTTTGTTCACTAAACACGCTGTTCAAACTATAGAAAATATACGAACAGTTTTCTTCATTTATTGACGTTAAATAAATAGATACTGGGAAGTAACGAAACTACTGTATTCTTTAGTATCTAAAGGCTGATCATAAAAAATGTAGACCTTTCGAACAATTCACCGAAAACAACTTGTATGAAATGATTAAACTATCATGGTATCTCATTTTTTCAAGAAATACTTTTATTTAGACATCAGAATGGACTTACTTAGAAATACTGTTAAACAAGCTTCAGGTTGAATGACCACCTTACTGTGGTAATTGCATGAATTGCATGTTACACGACTAGCTACCAAAGTTTGTTCGAATGCTCGAGTTGGAAATGCATCACAAAGGACTGATTGAAATTTTACACTTTCAATAACTGAAGAATGAGAACGACAAACAACTATCTTCGGGGGGAAGAATTCAGAGGAAAACGAAAATAATCATTACATCTTATAATCCCGTAGTTAAAGGTAATAAAAATTTCATTTATGAGAAAAATGATGTGAAACATAATTCAGCTTTGTGATCTCGTTATGAAAGAATACTATACTGACAATCAAAGGATGGCTGGTTTGATCTTCATTGCAAATTAAGTTGTTTTTTCTTTGAACTTCAACAAAAAACCAGGCAACTTACTCGTTCATAGTGAGGAAGACTGAAATTGAAAAGATCACTCATTTTTCTGGCAGTTGTTTGACTGAGAAAATCATTATCTTGACCACAAGCACGTTCCATGATAAAGCCGAAAAGTTCATGAGCATCCTAGAATTAGAATACAAAACACGATAAGAGCCAACGACAAAATTAACGTCCAGCTTTACAGATGCCAAACATGCACCTGCTGATAACATTCCATAGCTCAGGAGAAATTTTAACCAACACATTTTGACCTACAAGTATTTGATATCTCGACAAAACAAATTTAGATAAATATGAATAAATATAATGCTGCATACACGTCTAATCTTGATAATCTCGTTATCTTACGGACAGACGGACAAAATCAATATGAACCTTGCACACAAGTACATCGGCTCAAGTCCCCACACCTTATAAAAAGAACAGGTGGATAGAAAAAGAGTGATGTCAAAGTAGATAGAGTTGTGTGACAGAATAAATTATTTGAAGATCTGATCGGAAGCTCTCAGATCACCAGCTTCATGTCCTACAAGCTAACTATGCTATGCATTGAGTATGAGTGTTAAGTAGGCCGTAATTCTGAAATCCTACTCAAAGATTGTTCTTCCTGAAATTCAATACCTCTGTTTACCTAATCATACTCCAGTCTGAAAACAAAGAGATTAAACCTACCTTGAAAGTCAACACGGTGAAAATAAAAACTAAAGTGATACCCATTTGCAAACACAACTTTTAAAAAAACAGTGATTAAAAGTGAATTTTAAACCTAGTAACTGATTTAGTTCCATCACCCAGGTTGTAAAACACAAATAAACCCGTAATTTATAGGTTACTGTCTAGAACTCAACTAATATTCGAATTTCCAAGCAATAAATTAGAAACTTCTGTCTTTTTCTTATCTCGGAATTGTTCCATTCCATACTCATGAGGTGCATAAATAGCAATACTAAGTCCTAATACAAACAATCGAGCGTTACAGACAGTAGACAGACAAAATTAACGTAGAACCTCGCATACAAGTCCATTAGTTCAACCTGCCGTACCTCATAGTAATAAACAAAGACAGGTGGATAGAAAAAGTGACATCAAAGTAGACGAAGTTGTGTGATGGAATAAGCTATTTCAAGAGAACGGTCAGTGCAAATATTCAGACTTTAGACAATGTCAAAGCGTGAATACATCTGAGTCACCGTGACCAATTTTCAACCATATCATCAAGAGTTCTCAAATACTGATTCCCATAGTCTCGCGGATGCCAACCAGGCAGTCTACGTCTCCTACACGGCTTAGACCAACAGTCACGGTGCCACATCTTGGTCTGGCTACCCTGAACCCTCTTTCAAGCTAATCCAACTTCTCCTGGCATGGCACATCGAGGTAAGCGGTGGCTTGGTCCGTGCAGTAAATGTCCGAAAGAAACGCATTCCGCAACCCTGTGTACATCTGTGCAGTAGGCGATGAGCCACATCTATTGTGTGAGGGTTAGTGATACTACCTAGTCCCCCAAACCTCGGTAGGTGGAGCGGGTCTCAAACCCATGACCCGGTGGTTGATAGTCATCTCCCTAAACTACTGAGCTAGAGCTCCACTCAAGTACATGTCCAAGCCATCTCAGTCGACTAAGCTTCACAACCTCATCAATCGAATCGCCTTTCTTGCCTAGTACCCTTCGCCTGACTTCAACACTGTTCACATGGTGATTCCACCAAACGCGAGCGATGCTACGAAGACACATTTGTTCAGTACCCTGTAATCGCTTAATGTCTTCTACTTCTAACGACCATGTCTCCCAGCCGTATAACAGAACGGACTGTAGCGCAGTATACTCGTCCTTTGATAGATAGTCGGACAACAGGCCAGTAGGCACCACAGATGACGCAAGTTGGCAAATGCCAAACGAGCCTTTGGTATCCCAGCTGAGATTTCGTCAGCCATCAGTCCATTAGGGCTGATGCAAATGAAGTGGTCGACACATTCCACCACTTCACTCCTTATCACTAAAACGGGAATCCTTGCAGACCACTGGGAAAGACCGTCAAAAACGCTGGAAATAAATATAAAATCAAACAAGCTAAACATTAGCACATCATACGACTTGGTATCTACCGACCTCAAATTAGTAGTGGGCACAGACAGACGTCACTCAGTTACCGCTGGAAAGCGTCAGTAGGAGACTGTCGCTCCTTCTAGAAAACGTGCTTGGATAGGGATCACGTGGTGATTTAAAAACATGTATTTCTTCACCTAAATGGAATCAGGAGGACTATAAATGAGTTCACCGCCATGGTTGTTTTCAAGAGAGAATTGGTTAGACACTTATTGGAATATGGCAAAATTACTCATGTTAAATAGGCTTATTACCATCTCGACTGTGCTGTAAAAACAATGGTTAAGATAATATATGACCCTTTAAAATGGTTAGAAAAAAGCGATGGACCCCAGCAACTTTTTCCTAATTAATGGATCCACGCAAACGCATTCCTGAAAGCCCTGAGTGCAAACGACTTAAATGTGGACTGACAAAGTCTGTGCAATGACTATAAACAGTAGTGGGCAGTGAAGGCTATAGAGATTAAAAAAAAAGTAGTGGTGATAGGTAACAGTAGATAGTTATTAAGCTTACTCAGGAAATCAAGGTGAAAATATCGCCGGTTAATGAGACGAACACACTAAACAATGCCTAAAAAACAGAGTAAACAAGCTATCGAAAAGGCGTCCAAAGCATACTGGAAAGTGATATGAATTCCAAATCTAGCTAGCAATTGGTAATTTTCGAGCTACAAGCGTTATATAAAGTGTGCTCTATAGAAATTCTGTGAAGAAAACTGAAGTTTCCTAGATTACATCTTATGCGAATACTGAAAATGACTGATAGAAAGATTCCGATTAATGCTCAGATTTAAGGTATAACATTCGTACTTATATGACAACCTAATAACACGCTGAATGCAAGAGTACCTGATGGTTCAATAACCTTAGTGATAACTCTTCTAGATATGGTGGTTAGTGATGACGGTTTGCAGACATCATATCTAGGAACAAAACTTCCTGCTGAGTGCTTGCAAATGCTTTACACTAAAAACATTACACCAAAATGTTAAATTAACTTATTTTAATTACTGCTTACAGTGTACAATTCGTAATCAAAATATTCCAGACAGCAGTGAAGGCCAGAGTGGCACAGATTACTAGCTGGTTGCCGACTGATATGGAGAAAAAAGACAAGTGATTAGTAAAATGTAGTCACATGGACGACTTATAAAGAACTAATAGTACAACTATATTGATCTTCGTGGCTAGCAGAGGAATCCAGGGCGCGCGTTTCGTCCTGGTTGGAACTCGCCAGCTGGATGCACCTACACCCCAGTGAGGCTCGAACCCCAGTACCCTTCGCTCAAAACCCAAAGTGAAACTAGTTAGGCAAGTCGAAAGATATGCACTAACACTTAAAAATAATATAGAAAGAATAAATGACAACTAACCTGTTGTTCATGAATTGCCCAATGTTGTGTATTCACTATGTCATTAATTAACGCTTCATGATTTTTTCTTAATACAACATCTAGTTTATGTTCTGCAATATACTGAGAAGAACATTGTAATCCTGTCAAAACGAAAATTGAAACAACCTAGTATTTAAAAACGGCGACAATAATAATAACCCAAGTATAACAAGTCGATATATGATAAGAAATGATTTAACTGAAGGAGATTAGTATTTCAAGTTGCTGGTTATCTAACAAAGTGATATGACTTTGGTCTGACAATTTGACCACAAAAGTGAGCGGTTTCTGTAACTCACTGGGTCAGTAGTAATAACTAACTACTAGATCAAAACTGATACACCAATTTTCATACTGGAGTGTCTTTTCAAGCAATATATTCTTGTTCACAGTCACTATTCACGATTTTTATCTCTGTTTAGGAGAATTAATCATACTCGTAGTCGACTAGTAACATGTTTTTACTCATTCCATATTAACTCAGCATCAACACAATCATGAATAGGTTTTATGGTAACTAACAACTTCCGTTCTTCTTTTGATAGATAAATCTCCTCTTCGCTCTACTCAAAAATCCATCATACGGGAATGGTCAAACTTCAAAATGTAAGTAACAAAATGGAATCGGCCAGCGTTTTCCTAAATAGTGTTCGACACAGCGACTACGTCCCCCTGATTTACTAAACGTATGCAATGATAACGGTTTTCGACTTTCCAATGCACATAACTAGTCTGCTTCAGTAAATCAGCTATCCTTTGCAAATTATAGAATAAATTCTTATGTTGAATTGGTTTTTCCTGGCTGCATCTTATACATTTATCCTGACTAACTATGCGCACATTCTTGCACTAACTAAACCTAATGTATGGCAGTTGACAATACGCCTAAACTGTTCATACTGAAGTAGGCAGTGCTAGATTTTTGGTCCATGATACGGGAGGTGAATGTTGATGATTTTAGCCAGTGAATCACACATGACACAAAGCTTAAGCTTTTTGCTAAATGGATACGTGTCCGTATACGTGTTGGTTGTCAAGTTCTCCGAAGCGATCGAAAATAGTTTCATCACAAGTGTTGCAAGCCAGTGAAACAATTACAAAAAATCACTTACTTAATCTAAGAAACAGCCTTTACAACACCAAAACTGTAGTACGGAGCCTCATGGTACGCATGACTAGTTCATTTCTGTATGTATAATTCAATCAGTCTAAGGACTACTAAAGCAGCAACAGACTTGAATGACTCTCAAACTTATAAATGCGGAAGAGTATGTGAAGTACATAGATTATCGACAAACCCTTCGCAGAAAACACCAAAATATGTATGAATTGTACTTTATCAAGATTCTACCTTTTCTATCAGTAATACATAGGATTCAAATTTCGTGCAGTGGTAGTACAAGACATTAAACCCTGGAAAAAACGATACAACTAACATATAAATATGACAACTTTTGACGTAATTTAACATTTGTCAGTCGCAACAACACTAAACTTTGCAAAGAAGTACCTTAGACAAACGTTCATCATACGTCTAAGCTAATAACCTATTACAAGAGGTCAAGTAAGACTGGGTTAAAACTATCACAGACTTCCATAATAATCACCAAACGAACAAACTTAACGATATCAAAATATCATTCAATCACATACTAATTCGTTTCAATCAGAATTCTATGTACATATGACAACAATGAAAGTAAGTTCTTACCTTTTAACAAGCATAATAATCGAAATATAAATTTATCGGGTCGAATACGTGCACTACGTCTAAGAATGCGGACAATACTTGGATTCGCTGCGATCGCTTGCATCAATGCATTAAAGTAACATACATTTCTAGGATTCGGAAGTCCAATTGGCAGGTCTGAAAAGCCTTTAACAGTATACATAAAAATAAATTTGTGATACGTAAAGAGGAATCTAGTTGTTTCTTTATTTTCAGATATTTAAATCAAATACTTTGTTGATAATGTAAGCAACAAACTTTTGTCTAAGCGTAGAAGTTAATGATCGTCACTGAAGCTCATAATGTCCTCATTATGAAGTACAATTAGTCGCTTTGATGAATTTGTATAATGTAATAAGAAGACACTAAGTGAATACAAAGTCAATTTGTTGACAGAATGGATGATCGAAATACAAATGCAAGCCAACGGAAGGAAAATTTATGAGGCAGCCATTTCAATATGAATACCAGAGAAAGGAAATTTTGGATAAAACTTTCTAAATTTTATGATCGTTTTCATCCTAAGTTGCCTGCATTTGGCCAAGTAACTAGATAACCACCTTCACTAACATTCATTTCCCAAGTAATTTAATGAAATGGATCCTTCGAACTGTAAGGAAATGAAACGATATATAGTGAACACAGATCAAAGGAAAACCAAGTTAAGAATGAGTTTGGGTTAATGAGTTGTATGGGGTTAATAGCTACAAGTCGCGCCAGTTGAGTTACGGGAACCAAAAACTATATGTCTCAACATTAAACATCATCACTGATATGGTACTTTCATCATCACTCTTCAACCTTCAGTTTCCGAAAACAGAATAAGTATCGTATACTCCAAAAAACTTTTAATAACAAGATGAAACAACTATCAACTGGCATAGGTATGATGGGAACTACTTCCAAACGAACTCGATAACTTTCAGAAGAACCATTGTGAAATGTTCATCGCAATGTAATCAACTAGTATTTCTTTTACCTAAGACGGATATCGACCACCAACACTGATCTGTTTTAATCCGACTCAGATTATTAACGTTTATTTCAACATCTACGAAATATCAGATTGGTATTCATCATGGACCGATATCAGTTGGAAAGACACTGGAAGCAGTGGACAGCTGTCTCGTCTTAGTATCGAACTCCTCAGAAGTGCGCATACATGGCCCCGCCCCACCAGGGATCGGACCCAGTACCTTCAGGTCTCACGGCCAGCACGTTACCATTGAGCCATTGGGTCTAAATCCAGTAGTCCACACTTCCCACTTCTGTCAGTTCACGAGATAGCGCGACCTCCACCCAATGCCGAAGTTCTAATGAGAAGTCGTAGTCGGTGGGGTCAACCAAGACGGATATGAAGACAGTTAATTAACGGTCCCATTGGGTGCAGGTCGCGGTACATGGTGAACTGACCGAAGTAGGAAATATGGGCCATTAGATCAGGCACTGGGTTCGATCCCTGGTGGAGTCATGGGTGCGCACTGCTGAGTCTCACACTACGGTGAAATAATGCCCAGTGCTCCCAGGTTTCCAAAGTTTCTCTAACTGATGTCAGTCCATGATGGATACCCACTTGAAATCAATAAATAAGTCCCCACAAACAATTGAATATATGACATACTCGCAAAGGTTTTTATAAAGTATACGGACAAATACACTCCAAAAGAAAAAATCAATATCCGGGTTGACCATAGTCCTTAGCTCATACATTAGCACTAAGAACTTAGGTCCTTTCATGGATGAAACACGTCTGCAGATACGTCTAAACACTTTTGCTCAATCACCAAAAAAAATAAAACGGTTAGAACTGTTCTTTTTTTTCAAAGATGATAAGATACAAAACATTACTATAAGTAATATGTAAAATTAATCAGCATTAATAGCCACAGGTAAAACCAGTTACATGTAGTCCCGTTTCCATAAAATATCTAAATACTTATTCATAACTTCTTTACAAAGTACCACCGGTCAATTTCACCCTAGTAATTACCATCTAGAGATAATATAAACAATATAACTGTGGAACTACGTGAATACTCACTAAATGTTTATACAACATTTAGTATTTAACAGCCGTGAAAAAAGTGGTAGTTTTTCGTGGGAGTTTTGTACTAAGATGTTGTACTTTAAGATGTTGAGTGACTCTAAAGGCCACCCTAACAACCGCTGAAATAACCAATTATGTTACTCTATTTCGTCTGCAAACACAGTTCTTTCGTAAATAAAGAAACTTAATTGGTTACTTCAGTATTTGCTTGAGTAGCTTTTAAAGTTACCCGAGATGATTCTTAACTAATACCTAATTTCTTTCTAGTCAATATTCATATTACTGAACTATTAAATAATCAATAACTGATGAGGAAACGCAACTTCTAGATTCTACCTATTGATATTTCCTGTACTGCATAACAACAAAATGTTAATCTTATTAAGAAGAACAGACAGATTTCACTCGAAAAGATGTGGGAAAAGTAGTTTTGGACATTTCTTTTTTCTCACCTTAAAAAAGCATTCAGAAAAATCCAATGGAAATAGGTGCAAATGTCGTAAGCTATTGTTCTTTTGTGTCGGTTACAGCAGACAACTAATAATTTGAATTTTGTTCAGTAAAGCCTACCGATTACTCGATATGTTAAACTTGATTAATGTCTCTTGACCAAAGACCGAAGTTAAGTCATGGTTCAAACCAATGAGAAAACGCCCCACCAGTGTTAGCTTACAGGAAATATAGGGTATACTGAACAAGATACTGCACCACATAGTGCACCCCTTATTATAAGCGTAACACTGACATTGAAAGTAAAAAAAACCAGTTTACACAGTTCAATCATTTAAGCGATGTAACCCATAATAATCAGTTAATTATTATCATAGTATGACGCTTACTTTTCAAGTAGACATGTAATAAGCAGAACTAGGGATTTGTGGTTAACGTGCGAGGAAAGATCAGCTACTCTGATACTATCTCAATTGACTAGCAGAACAATAAAAGCAACCTTATACAAGTATACGTGAGACAAACTCTTGACATCATAAATGAATAATTTCATACATGTTACACGCTGGAAGTCAATTGATAATAAGTCCTGGCATTCATTAAAACGGAGTAAATGCAACTATGGGAAAAGCAGTGTTTACTTGGTGATTCGAACTTGAATTAGTCTGTACTTAGGTCAGATATTTCATTACTTACCAATTCCGGCCACGACTGACTGCATTATGTATACAAATCAGTTATCAGTGAGGTAATAGATGTAACTAGCTAACGGAAGTTTATCAATTAAGCCTTAATATAAACCTATAAGTGAATATAAATGTATCACAAGGAAGAAACAACTCATAATCAAAATAGGTTTTTATGAAGCAAAGTTCAGTAGCAGTATTTATAACAGCAAGGGAATATGAACAGGTAAACAACTAGTGAAATATTGTAATATTATCAAGAGATGCATACCATAAGAAAAATAGCTTATCAACTATTTTTTTTTATACTCACCCACCTTATGCACATTTGTGCAGTAGGCGAAGAGCCACACTTATTGTTTAACGGTTATTGACGATACTACTTGGCTTCCCAAACCTCGGTAGGTGGAGCGAGATTCGAAGCCGTGATCTCCCTAAACTAATGAACCACAGCTCAACAGAATAGCAGCTGGTTACACCCTAGAAAGTCAGTACTTAGCCATTTGATATACCTGACATATTTATCTGCCAACGTATAATCAGTAAAATAATACTGAACAAACAAACCACAAAGCACGTAAAACAAAATACGAAATAATGGAACTCATCCCGGTACATGTCATTGTTCCAAGTTATGAGGTACACTCGTTTTGTAAGGGCCCAGGCCGAAGTAAGTGGGCTAGTTTCGAACCCGAGACCTTCTGGTGGAGGATCAAGTTTCTTAGAATCTACTAGCCTATACTTAGTAAATGAGAGATAAAAACAATACATATCATTCTAGACCACAATAAATGGAGTAATTTCCAACCCGTAACTCAATGGTTGACGGTCGATATCTGCACAACTGAGATGCTTTCAACAGTTGCCACATAAATAGAACAACAAGATTTATCGGTTTACTAAGTTATAGTCATTGCGTGTAAAATCATTACAGAATACAGCATTTTTTATACAACTTACACTCTTTTCTATCCCTTTTCCTGTGTAATAAAAACAGCCATTACCGTATGGACTCCGCACTTTGTATTTTTTTTCTACCAAGAATTTAGACGAGGCTGTAAACCTTCATCGATTGAGATGGTTGAGACACGTACTATGTATGCCCAGTCACCGATTGCCTCGTCACACAATGTTGGCTGAAGTAGGTCCAGGCTGGAAAAAGGCCCTAGGTGGCCAGACTAAAACATGGCACCAGTGTATGAAGTCTCTGATTGTTGGTTTGAGCCATGTAGAGCGATGCAGACTAGGTGGTCGGGGTCCACGGGACAAGAGGAACCAATGGTTGGAGACTCTAGGGGATATGGCTTAGAACCGATGCCAGTGACGCAGATGTATACATACATTATCCTCATCTTAACAACACTATACCGAATCTCACAACTTTGTCATTCCTCCTTTCTTTCTTTTGACTGCATTCTCTTATCTTCATCCTTCACCTCACTACCTTTCTACTTGATGTACTGACATGAGCTGTGGCAACTCCGACCGTTACGCAGTAATGCCTGGTCCTATGTTGATATTGATTGATTGATTGGCCAAGAATTTAATGATTTCTTGATGTTACTTCACAAGTGTTCCTTACTGCGCGAGACAAGCATTTACCTAACTTATCAGTGGAAATACCCTAAGCGGTGTTAGAACATGGCATATTAGTAACTATCTAGAGCTAAGACTGTAAAATAACCCTATAGACTTCAAACATAAATGAATGGGTTGGTTAGATTTTTGGGGAAATCACTTAATTTGTTTAAATGTTCTTCTAGCCATTTTAGCTGACTTATAGATGCATCACACAGTAAAACAGTATAACTTACTGGATTACGTGTCAGATATAGTATTTTGTCTATAGTTACATTAAGGTAATTCCACAACTTTGAGGCATGCTTTATGTAGTTCCCATACTCTCTCCTTCTGTGACATATATCAGCCAACCACCAGGTGAACTACTCAACAGTCAAGTGGACAATTCCAGATAAGAATATTGAGTGCACTGGTAAAAATCCGAATCCACGCTGAATGACATGAATGAGACATGCTACTATAACATCGACACCCAACGTATGGTTCTGGACACATGAACATTCTGGAAACTGAAAGATTGGAGTAGTAGTGACCCATCAATTGGGTAAGGGAGCATATGTTAACAAGCTAATTTCGATCAAATATTAGGAGTAAGTGGTTGGAGACCCTAGGTAGCACATCTCAAATGACATGTATTGACGTTTTATCTTTTTCTAGTAGGTACGCATTCTTTCCTTTTCACTAGTAGCTCTTCTTACATACTTTAATACTTTTGCACTCCTTCCAATCTTTTTCTGTGCGTTTTTGAGGTACGCGACAGCAGAAGTTGAGGAAACCAGAACCCTCCTGGAAAATGTAGAAGTTTAAATTTTAACTGCTAACCATCACTATTGGAAGAGGAATTTTGTTTAGTGCAAGGTAATTTTACTCGGAGCTGAGTAAAGATATATAAACTAAGCTACGCGAAATGGTCAGGTCTCACATCATGAAATCATAGAGAAATGCGACAACGGATTAGTTTGATTACATTCCTAGACAAGATAGACAGGAATCAATGTAGAACCTTGCACAAAAGTGCGTCGGTTCCAGTCGTCACACTTCACAGTAGTATACAAAGAATATGATAAAGACATTCGATTGTTGATGCAATAATTGAGGACAATTACTGACTAAATATAACTCAACAATACTTAGGTCATGAACACTGTACACCTGAAAATATGAAAGGTGTTTCTCTATTCATGAAACAGTATGTTCCTGATAAAGAATTTTTTCATATGCATTCCTTTCGATAGCTTAAGACTTTTAACCGAACCTACAAGAAAAAACGATAACAAAACCAGCGAGTAACATTAAGGTAATTGGATGTTTACTTTTCGTCAGATAAAAATTATGTGGAATTTCGAAATCAGAGAAACAGATAAACCGACCTAGAACCTCACCAAAAAATGCATCAGTTCAAGTTGTTACACTTCATAGGGGCATACAAAAAACAAGTGAATCAAAAAAGAGTGATATTAAGGCAGAAAAGTGTGTGGATGGTAACAGAAGTAAAAGAAGGTTAGTGAAAATGTTCAAACTTCTGAAGGTGACAAATATCATATACAACTGCACCGTTGTGACTGATTTTCAACCATGTCACCTAGTGTCTCCGTTCATTGATTCCTATTGTCTTGAGGATCCCAGCTAGGCAGGCTAAAACTCCCTACACATTTCAAAACGCTAATCAAGAACTTCATGGAGTGTTACGATGTCTTAATCTTGCTGCTCAACCGTCTTGCAACCCAATCCTGTTTTGACAAATAGCGCACCTTTAGGTGAGCAGTAACTTGTCATGCGCAACACTTATCCACGCCACCTCAATCGATAGAGGTGAACAACCTTAGTTAGAGAACGGTTTGAAACTATATGAATAATGCGATCATTTTCTCCGTAAACCAACAGAGCACATATCAGACCACTAACAAACTAATGTAAGTGTGCAATAACTAAAGTTCTTGCAACTCCTAAATTTAAAAAAACAAGACGAATACAATAGAAGTGGAAAGATCAAACACATCAAGTTAAATAACTAGCTTATGTGAGACAAAGAAGTGGTGAATTTAGATGCGTAAATATGACCAGTTCTATGACATAATCTAATGTTTTAAAATGACGATTACCATAATATATGATGGACAGTCTCATCCTAATGTGCCTCCAACGTTGCACACAAGTCAAGAATACAAAATCCCACCAAACTGATGACAGGCTCTATTGCGTTTGTATGTATGTAACCTCACGTTTTGGACAACTAAGTAAATATCATCACAAAAGTCATTTGAAATAAAGTAAAAGCAGAAACTAATAGTATCCAGCTGCCGAAAGCTGTTACGAAGACAGGAAAAACGCCACCCTTTAATGAGGTAAACGAACTCAGACTTTCATCATCATCATCATCAATATCAACATAGGATCAGGCATTACTGCGTAACGGTCGGAGTTGCCACAGCTCATATCAAAACATCAAGTAAAAAGGCAGTGAAGCAAAAGATAAAGATAGGAAAATTCAATCAAAAGAAATATAAAGTACGAAAAGAGAGAGAGGAGGAATGACAGAATGATGAGATTCGGTATAACGTCGTTAAGATGAGGATAATGTGTGTATACATCTGCGCCATATCACCCAGAGTCTCCAACCACTGGTTCGTCTTGTCTCGGGGACCGCAACCGGCTAGTATGCATCGTGATATGTCAGTGAGTAGGTACGCTTCAGCTTATGTGGCGGGAAAAACTTTCGAGCAATGTTTATTCTGAAGATTAGAGTTTTCAGAATTTCCCTAAAGCTAGTCCTAACGTAATCAAACACTGCATTGTGCAGTAAAAACATTTATAAAGGTACCCAGTGACGCACTATTAAACAGTATGCAACATCACTGTCGCGAAAATTTTGTTTCAACAGATGAATGAACAGATGGGATGATCATAGTAGAAAATCACAAAAGTTTCATTCTTTGCAGCACAGAAACCGAATAAAAATAGACTGACTCTAAAAGAAGCAGGCAAATTACCCAAGAAGAAAGAACAAAGGTATCAAGACTAATAAACTATTTAGAATCTTGGAAATCTACACCGTTGGCAATCCACTTTCAGTTTCGTCATCGAATTCACCATCACCAATTCCTCGTATTTCGACATACGCGTGTCAGTTTTAATGTTTTGTGGTGTAAGAGCTGTTGAAACACACTAATCAACAGTAAATATAAACGGTATGAATGACATAAGGAGAAAAAACTGCAGGAAAGTCAGAAGACGTAACACCCTGTCAGTAGTTTTTATCAGTACGTGACTAGAAAAAGTGAAGGAGGTAGATAGTGGGAAGACGAACAACCAAGTGGCCATATACTCTTCAGATGAATTACTAAAATAGTAAATAAGACCCAGCAAAAATGTATTTAGCTTACATCGAAAATCCTGCATCTCACACTGCTTGCAGACTACATATTGTTCTTCTCCTCTCCTTCCATTTTTCGCAAAAGCTGGATAGCTCGTTGTTAACATGAAGCAACAAAGCAGCTAGCTACACGATGTAGTATCTATACATCTTCAATAAAGAAGATTTAGCAGCAGTGATTGGACTAAACGGTTCATTTTCAAGCTTAAACATGACCTCCAGTTGCCAATAGCTTTACGAAATTTACCCTGTTACACATCGAGTTAACGCAAAATTCACACCATAAAGTCTATCACTTTAACAGATAGAGATAATAAAGTGTAATCTTCCGAAAACCCATGGTAAAGCAGTAAATGTACAAAGTGAAGCTTATGCTTGGAAGCTACAGGATGATGCTTTAAGATTATAGCAACAATTTGAATAGACGAGACGACATCTACATGCCTTCGATGATCCAAGTCGAAAGACCAGTATCAAATGCAGTATGAAGAAAATGCTTCACAATTGTCTATATTGGAGGGTTAGACCTGATAAATTAGAACAATTTTATACTATCGTTACATGCATGTTGAGAAAAATTTCTCTGCACTCACTTCTTAGTATCAGACATATTCGGCTGATCATCAGAAACACAATTTAATATTTTCAACCCCATGAAATTACTGAAGATTATACATTTTCAATCATAAATGCATTCATCCACTAGATAAGTCTTACGGTGGAGAGCACTCTAAAGTACAATCTCAGTATTTTTCTGTATGGCAAGTCACTTCTGTAAATAGCTTGGGGTTAAGAGGAAGATTTCGAATTCATACCCATTTTGAACACTACCATATACATCGAACACATTTATTGATTGTTAAACTTGTACTTACGTTAGCATTCTATATCCTAGTCAAATCTTTATGCCTAGTAAGTCTGAAAATAAATGCTTATCTCCCAGCAACTAAAGTTCGATATTACAAGCTTCCATGCAAAGAAAGTTAGATCAAAAAAAGAACACTAACTCTTAAACATGTGATTATAGAAACGTCCATCGTATAGGTACATCCATTATATTTGAGAAAGGATACTAACGTAAGTGGGAGGCTGGTAATTAATAAATGTGCCTGATATATATGAGGGTGTTAAAACACGCTGCAGTTGTAGTATCTGTTCAAAATACTTCCGCGAGCACGATTTTACCCCTTATAAGAATTAATCTCTACTTGCCACACGAAAAATCTAGTATTACTTACAGAAGCAATAATATAGTTATAATAACGGGTGACCATCTTTTTTTCTTCACAAACCTACCATTTGAGACATAAATAGTTTATTCATATTGAACATACGGGTACACCTTTATTAAATGACATTTCCAGCACATATTTGTGCTATATTCTGTAAGCTGACCTACTCCAGAACTACACTACCACAATGCCCAAGTATCATTCTTTCAGTTAGTTCTTCCAATAATTTTCACTAGTTAACTGTTGAAATCCTTTCTGAAAATATCTTTGCGGTAACTCCCGGCATATTACATGGAGCTCTAACTTGTCGTGTATGATATCACACCTAAATCTGTCGCTCTGCACTTAAATATCGAATCATAATGACACATTATAATAAAATGAAAAAAAGACCGGAACACTTACCACAAATATGTCTTCCATCTTTACGACAATAAAGCAAATATATAGCTCCTGAAATCACAGCGCCTCCTACAACCACGAACAACGAATCACAAACTCGTCTCACTGAATGCATTTAGTTAGAAAAACAAGTTACTACCAGTGATACTGCTGATAGTCATCGCACTGACTCTTTTACGAAAACGAAAGTAAAACTTTGTAACACAAGCATTCCAATATTTCTTCACGAGCTAGTGTAAATCAAATGATTTCTACGCGCTCCCTTCTAGGTGTTGCGGAACGGGTCCAGGCACTTGGCAGACTCCGATCCAGTTGATCTACCCACACTTTTGGTGTAGCTCAGTTGGCTTGACTGGTGCGCGTTTTGAAAAGGGAGTGACTTTTCACATTCAATCAGATTCTTGGCATTTTCTGTCTTTATACATCAAAGATTGTCTTGTTTTTGCTCTAATCAAAATATCCTTTGATTAAAATGAGGCAGAAAATTTCCTGTTCGAAAAGGAGACTGAATTCACGTCCAGCTGGATTTTAGGCATTTCTTGTGTTTACACATCAAACGCTGTTGTATTTTTGCTCTAATCGGAATATTATTAGATCAGAGTGAGACAGGAACTTTTACTGGATGAATTACTGTAGTTTCTGCTTCATTGTGGGCCAAAAGTATCGTAAAGTTGCTTATGGTAGGGTCGAGCGCCACTTCACAGTGGCCTCTAGTATGCAGTGTAGCGGATGTAAGAGCTGGTTCCACGACAACTGCACAAGCCTCATACCATCAGCACATAAGAGGTGCAGCAACGCAGTAAGTATCTGGCTGTGTACGTTGTGTTGCTCGAGTATTCGCACCCTGGTAGAGGCAAAAACAATTCTGAATGCGATAACTAAGAAACTGTCATCGAAAGTCAAAGTCGATAACTGGGATAGGGATAACAACACAGCACCCATTGACATGCAGATTGCTGTGCAAAATTTTAGGAACGTCCCACAACAAGCAGTAAGTCGGACTCGTGGACCACCTACTAGGCCTACTGACAGTGATTTGGAAAAAACTACACCGGGCAGAGTGAAGCGAGTATCTTCTGGTTCTCGCATCCATGGGGCTGACAGACCCAGTCTGAAGACTACTGACAGTAATACCAGGTCTACTTCAGCTAAGAGGAACAGGAATGAAGCACCCTCGGTGCCAACGACAGAACCATGCGGGCCGCAGGTCATACCCAGTTCGGCAACCCAATCATTAACAAGAACTAAGCGGAACGGATGCAAGTCTGTCCTGAGGCTCCCAGCGTCAAGGTCACTGGACCGGGCTATGGTGAGCCTTGCATACTAGACTCTAAAAAATGCAAGCAACTAAGTCCAAACGGCGTGCCAGGAAGCCAATAACGGTCACCGAACCAACCGTTATCACTTCACAGAGCTAAGACACAGTAGAGATCCCTGACAGGACAGTAACCTCCTACACAGTGAAAGAAAGTAGAGACCCAGAACCGGGTAAACGTTTCGAACACGACCTTGGCAACGTACGAAGTTTGATAAGCAAGCTTTTAGCGGAAAACATGCCAGGAGTCACCCTACTAAAAATGTATAGAGTAAGTAAACAGGAGACAGTCATTGCTGAAAATAAGTTTCGGCCACTTGAAGCCGTGCTCAAGCCAGCAGATAAGAGGGGTCAAATTCTGAAGAATGCCTGCAGACTTCAAAGGTCTAGAGAGTTCTTGCGAAGGGATCTGGCTTTTGTTGATCCAGTCAAAAGACGAGAAGGAGAAGAGGAATTAAAATCCAGATCGGCAGCTGGAAAGCAAGATCCAAATGTAATGGGTTTTCGCATAGTGAGGTTTCAGAAACCAGTGACGCCAAAGCCTCTATGCATACGACCGAAACTCATTCAAGTAGTTTCACCGTCTTGTACACAAATGCATACGGTCTTTTAAACAAGTGGACTGGACCTAGTTGTGTGGTAAGCAACGAAGGCCCTGACATCATTCCTATCTCCAAAACTTGGCTCTCTTCCGAGATCAGTGACGGTGAGGCACACTTACGAGGATTCGTCCCTTTTAGAAGTGGCAGGTCAGCACACGAATGTGGTGTCATCCCTGACATTAGGGATAACTTAACTGTAAAAGCCACGCAAATGGTTGTACACGTAAGGGGAATGTATGAAATGCTGAGCTGCTGGCTAAAATTCAAGGGACAAGATGTTGACCAAACCGTAGCACATGGAGGCTGCCCCTCTGAACAGATAAATATTGATATCTAGTTGTGGGAAACGTCAACGCGCTACCATTTGGGTGAGATAGACCAACAACAAAGGCACTACTAATTCGTTGGACCACAGATTAGCGGAAGCATCAATTTCCTCAGCCCTCATACAGCGCATTAGGACACCAACCAGATATGATCATCAGGATGCGCCATCAGTTCCAGACTTAGTATTCCCACGTACAGATCGTGTATGACTCGTTCGGCCCCTAGCACCCCTTGGTAAAAGTGATCACTCCGTGATCATCGGATTCACAGTAGACGCCTTGTACCACGCCGGTGCCCCGGCTAGACCCAACTTATGGGAAGTGAATATGGAAGCTATTAATCCGGCGGCCTCCTCGGAGGATTTTACTGTTAATCCAGAAGCCTCAGTTGAAGGTGCATGGTGCTGCTTCAAATAGCTATATGCACGAGTGACCCAACCGTTCATTCCGTGGACTATTCCAAAAGGACGGAAACACCGTCCTCCATGGATAAACCACGAAATCTGGATCTCGCTGCAAAGTAAGAAAAAGTGTTGGAGCTTTGCCACCCACCTCGGTACACCCGAAGTGGTGAAACATTGCAAAGAAGCTCGAAATTATTGTATGGCCGCTATCCGCCGGTCTCCAGTACGCCTTGAAACACTTCTTGTCCAGGCTGTATTGCAACAACCAAAGAGGTTATCTTCCCATATGAACTATAGAAATAAGTTGTGTCGTAGTATGCCGGCCCTAATCTAAGGGACCAAAAACTGACTGTTTGACTAAGGGCGATATACAGAAAGCAGAAGCTATGACTGGATATCTCGCTGAAACCTTCACTCGGGAATCTTCCGTGGACACTTATCCAACGGCCAAAGCATTGACATCCAGCAGAATAAACTCTCTGGATATCGGCCACAACGATGTATTTCAGATAGTAAGTAATCTCGACGTGGAAAAGTCAACAGGACCGGAGGGGCTGCACCCAAGCCTGCTCAGAGAGCTTGCACCCTGTATAGCCAGCCCACTAACCACTATGTTCAGACCGTTTCACAGTGAAGGGATATCATAGTAGTACTTATCTTCAAGGGAGGCTCTAGGCAGCTCCCGTCAACTTACAGACCGATGAGTTTGCCTAGTACTGCGGTGAAAAGCCCAGAAAGAGCAATCAAGAAAGCCATCACAGTCCACGTGGAGAACGACACTCTATTGTCTCGTTCGCTGAATGGTTTTCTCCCGCTTGACGAACGTCCTTACAGTCAGAGAAAGTTGGGTTAAGCCTAAAGACGATAGGACACATGTAGATGTCATTTTCATGGACTTTAGTAAAGTGATAGACTAAACGAATTGGACTTTACATTGCTCCCGCATGTCTTGGTATTTTATATCGGTACTCTGAGCGGTTTAGTAGATCTCCTGTCTGTACTGAAGAAACTTTCGGAGCATATACTGCATCCTTTTCTGAGAAACTCAACCTGCTGAGGAGCATACCCTTCTGGAACTTTAACGAACACCACTGTCAAGAGACACCCGTTTGGATATGCATAGCGGGATGCAAGAAATTACTGCCGAGAAAAGGGAGGAATCAAAACGATGACCAACTTAAAGTGAAGTCATTTGTCTGCCCCACTTTATTTAGTCACGAACTAACGCCGTTAGCTTCGAGACATAAGAGTTTTGCAATGTACCTTACCTAAGCAGTAAAGAAACATTTGCTAATAACTCATATTTGTTACATAAGTCATTGCTAAGTCTTCTGTAACTGGTGGTTATTTTACTTGCCTCTCGGTATTATCGAACCCAATAAATGTGTAACTACTACTTCTCAACCGTGGTCCAGCCCAACAAACGTATATGTGCTGCGCAAACACGTAAACCTAATCCTAGCGTCCTAACTAAAAGAGCAGCTTCACTAACTGGTTCGACATCAAGCCCTAGAAGGGGCCCTGAAGTTAAGGTGCTCGATTTGGTACAGGAGCTATATAACGCTTCGCTTAAAGGCAAGGAACGTTTGATAATCTTTCAGAGGTCACTGAGAGACATGAGCGCTAAGATTGAAGTTATCCTGCCACTGCTGCATCCTTGTCAGCCTAATCTAGGAGCCAGTACTGAAACCATCGAAAACCAAAGGCGTCCTGGATTTCATAGCTACATGGGTTAATAAAAAATTATGCTCCGATATAATGTAATAGCATAGAACATACCCGACCACGAACCTATCAAACAACTAAAAGCCTTGTGTAGGCGGGCTCGTAACATGTCTTGTGCAGCATGCTAGGCCATCCGTCTCCGTTAGAGGTTGGGGAAATATACCTGCCCCTTGTTCTTCCAATTTAACGGCTCTTACCACACCAGACACTTATCATCCAATCAATTTATTGGTGTATCCATACCATATAAAAGTGCCAGACTTTCACAAGACTTAACACCTTGCCAAAGACGTAATCGCGCGAAAATGCCGAAGGCTGCAAGCTCTAGTCAGGCTGTAACACCCACAACAGCAACCCAGTCTGTTAGTGAACTGTTTACAGTACTCAAACAGCGGAACGAGGGACACCAAAGCCCCAAAAATAGCTGACTCACACACAGACGCAGTTGAGCCGATGACACGACGGTGGGCCTGGGCAAATCGACAAACTACACTTGAAAACAGGCGCACGAGCTGTCCAAAGCGATCTTAATGCCTACAGAAAAGAAAAACCAGTCCCCATCCCACCCCGTCACGCAAATCACCACCAAACCAAGTGCTACGCCATCGATCCAACAAAATACTGAAGGCATAACTATGTCGTCACCAAAGGTTACTCAGCCTTATGAACGTACGCGACACCAGCCACAAGCACCCTGTCACCAAAGGACCGTCCTGAAGCCTGGCGCGTAAACAGACTAGTCCACTCCCACGCCAGCCGGTGCATAAACTATATGCATCAGATGGGCAGACGACAAGGAGCCCAGATAGCACTAGAAACCCTTATGCGAACCCCACCATAGACCCACCCAAGTTAATCAAATTGCCAGAAAGTAGCTAAGCCGACAGATGAAAAAGAAATGCGAATAATCAAAAGGCCATGGTACCATCGCAAAGCCACACTAAGAAAAATGCCAAATGTTATTTCTCGGTTCATCCC